TATAAGGTCCACCAACCATACCCTAGATATATATATATATATAAAGGTTGGAAAACTAACATGTTTTTTTCTTAACGCTGAATGTAATTTTATTACAGTGGAACATATTTTTCAAAATCGTAAGGAAAAGAAAAATATTAAATACATTTTATAAATTGATCAATACAAGAAAGTATTCAATATTGAAAAAGTCTGATGAAGTAGATGTTGTAGCGGAAGAGGCTTGAATTACAAGTGCTCATGTCCACCACTATCCCGAATTAATTTGGGATGGGGGGGGGGGGTAGAACTTCAAATTTACCACTTCAGAAGCAAAGTGACAAGGTTACAACTGTGGCACCACAGAATGTGAAAATCAAGAAGAAAAAAAACAGTAAATGACTTTCAAACAAACTTTTATTAATTAATCTCAAGTGAAAAATGGTTAAAACCCCAAAAAGTGGACCCCATAGATACTTTGCTAGAGAAAATACTCATACTAGAGTACATAGCACGTAAAGGATATCATTGTCCTTCCTGATAATGTCATCAATCATACAATTAAAGGCTTGGACAATTATGGACAATTATGGACAATAATGTCTATGCATTGAAAGGTTTAGTGCTCCATCTAATAGCATGGAATATAAGAAACCTCACAGGAACATGGTATAGAGATACTAATTTTCAGCTTAAAAGCAACAAGAACAACTTAATTTTAAAATTATACAATTGATATAGGCAGGCATACTTAGTTGATGAGTTGGTATCATTCAAAACAATACACATAGCAGCCTACAAAGCTACTACTATTTGTGGCCATTGACCCAGTGGACGGAGGTTGTTAACCTTCCTCTTGTGGCCCCTACTGCTCTGGAACGTGTGTGGCTGTGTAGTTGAAGGCTCTGAAGATAACAGACAATGTTGTAAGGTATCCCAGGATACAGGCAACTGCAATAGCATAGTTAGTTTCCACTTATGGTAATGATTATTGATCTCACTAAAAATAATGCATAACGTATGCTCATTATCTCCTGGTGTGTTTTGTATGATCAAACACCAAACGGTCGATAATGAAGAGGTTTACATAGATATTTCCAATAACTCGGTTACTATACAGAGAGCATAGGTGTTGCTGGGCACTTGATATATTCACAATGGTTTAAAATTAGTTAAGTTGTGTGCCAAGACAGGATGGATGTTTAGTCCCACTCCCACTTTACCCAAGCCCAGTGTTATCCAAGTTCTTTTTGATTTGAGCTTCATTTTACCCCATAATAAATTACATTAAAAGCACCTTCCTTCCTTAGCAATGCCATTATTATCTACAATTAATTTTTATTATTCTTTATAGCAGTGGTAATGTAGGCAACAGGGCGCATGTAAAAGTTAAAGGGAATAGCTAGTCTTTTTCAGTTTCTTTTTAGAAAATGTAAACCAAATCAGCTTGATGTAAATAATGTTATCAATATGTGTTCGTTTTAAAAAAAATGTATTTATGTGTATAAGTTGCAATTTGTACATGTACATGGGGCAGCCATGTTTGTTATATATGACGGCCCTGTTTGCTGCTTTGCAGGGTTACTCATTGGGAGTGCTTTACTGCTCCTTCTCACAATGCATGTCTAAAAATGACCATAATCTGCTCAAATTTCAGCCGATTCCTGCTCCATGGGTGGCCCTGCACAACCACACACTCCCAATCATCTTTTATCGAAGGAACCAGTCTAAAAACTTTCAGCCAAACAGTGCCCCCATTCAATCAGATGTATTCAGCAGCTGCTGGAAGGATTCCTCCATCCACTCTGTTTAGCCTGGATAGGGGAATTGATGGATTTCTCTCGTGTAGCCTGTCTTACTGGACAAGAGAAATTCTAAACACGTACAGTATGGCTAGCTTAAGTCTGCTGGCTCAGTGAAATCTACGTGGGTGGCTGATGTCTTATCTCAGCACTTGTTAAGCAAAAAACAATATTTACAGTGAGTCAGTGAAAACTCTCCCAGGTGGTTAATCTTTAAATCTGTATACTTAATATTAAAAACATATATGGAAGAGCAAGCTTGTAAAAACGTGAAATTGATATATACTGTTCATTACATTACGATTGACCCCGAAAAGATAACTCACAAATATGTACTTATATGCTTTATATTTGCTCCTCATGCACCTTATTTTTAAAAACACATTGCACTAAATCACATGGTACTTTCTTACCATATGTTTTCCAATTAACACGTATATAAATTGCCTAAAATTGTAATATATTGCAGCTTAACAGTCCTTAAATATAGCAATTGCAGTACTTTTTTTTTGGGGGGGGGAGGGGGGTTTATTGTCATCTGGTGATCCCAGGAATGACACTCTTCCTGTCCATGGGTGGTTCCAGTCCCTTTTGAACTGTATCTATTGAAGGAACCATGGTTGCCATCAAGGCTGGACTACAAACTGTCTTTGTTCATCTTCATTACATGGGAGGTGGAGGAATTAGTAATTCACAGAAGGAAGATAACATTGTTTGTGCTTTCAGTTCAGCACACAGGAAGTGACAAAGACATTTCATTTCTGGCAAGATGAGTAGATACTGTTTGTACTTGCTAAAAAAAAATAAAAAAATAAAAATGCAGCCATTCCAATTAAAGGGACGGATAAGCTGCAATAGATTTTCTTTTTGGGTTTACTTACCCTTTACCGAAATTGGATCATGGGGATTTCAGGCAGCCACCATGGCTTGTTTATATAACATGCTTTAGCCCCCTGGGTGGGTGCAACAGCTCATGCACGTATATATGGGTTTTTGTGTGTTGCATATAGGGCAGCCTATTCATTTCGATGGGCTTCCCTAAGCACGGCAATCGCACTAAAGTCACCATACCTTATTTTTCAAAATACATCACACAAATACTTAAACGCAGTACTTTCTTACCTTGAGTTCTGGTGAAGTTTCACGCACATGAAAGCGCATGGTTCAACAAAGTGCATTGGGGTGCAATTACCAAAGAATGGAACCTCAGCAAGTCTTACAAACTGACCCACATTTTGGCATTCATGTCAGGGGGCATTCATAGTTGCACCCTACATTGAGCTTTGCAAATTTTCCTGAAAAGCTATGTTATTTTATGTTAAATTATGTTAATTACAACTGTAAACTATTTGATGTCCTTTGACTGGGGATTTCTTCTTAGCAGATGAGCAGTAAAAGTCTTAGGTTACATATCCATGCAGAACCCCATCTCTTAATCAGGTCATGTGCCACCATATTAGCTGAAAACCTGTTCTTTTTCTACCCTAAGGTTCCGCATTGGCTTTAAGCATGTGTTTCGATGGTGCCCATTTATCCGTGCGGGTGAGTATGAAGGGCTGGAAATGAAATCCACACGCTACCTGCAAACCCAGAGCAGTATGTACAAAATCAGTCGTATTGAAACCACCGTCTCGTCTGTCCTAAACGCCACCGATGAAGAAGCGGAGGAGAACGGGAAGAGTAACAAGCGTCTCTCCTTGGACCTCACTTCCAACGGCTCCTCTCGCAGTGTCTGTAAGACCATGTCTGACTCATCCAGCTTCTACTCCAACAACCTTCCATAAAGTCATGCCCCCTTTGACATCAGGATTGTCCTAGTCCGTACCATGGTCAGAATTTCATTAGGCTGCTTGACCCCTTGTTTGGGGTGGAGGGGCTTTTTAAAAAACATTTTCCCAGGATACCAGAGAAAGAAATTTTGTTTACGATTTCAGGGTTCTTTGTTGTTTTGTTCATCCTGATAATCAGAGATGTTTACAACCTAAAAGTTTTAATCATTTTTAGATGTCTTTACAGTTTGCTCTTGGGTAAGAACTGTATATGACCCAGGAGACACTGCCCCTTTATTACATAATCTGCAGGATTGTGACATGTTTACACTGTTATTTCCAGTCTTTTCCTTTTTTACTTAAAGTGTACCTGTCATGATGGACAATGCAAGCAGCCATTTTATGGGCTGAACAAACAGATAACCTATAAGAACCCCTGACATAATGGCAGCATCGGGTGAAGCAATAGCCTTCATTAATGGAAATGATGGCCTAGTTCATGAAATGGCAGCCTTCATTGGGACAGCAGGTACACTTTAAAATGCCATTCCAAAAATAGACAGGTCTATTACGAATTCCTACAATATATAGAAACTGAAATATGTGCTGCTCAGGGAGTTGCCAGTGTTCATCGATCAGTATAAAAAGAATCCTTAAGTATTATAGCTCTGAAAGTTTTTATATATTTTAATTTAAATGTTTTTGAACCCAAATGAAAAAACAAATACCATGCTAATGACCAGGTTTCATCTATTCTCTATGTGCCTGGTGCTCTATTTATATTTAATTTTTTCAGTAGATGACATTTAGATGTGTCAAGCAGGAGTACAATGCCAAATAAAGTCATCAAAAATATTAAGATGTTAGATAGCCTTAAAATAAAGATATAAATTATTTAAAAATATAGATGATATTGCACAAATCTATTATAATATCAGTCACATGTACTTTAATTTAATTAGTTTATTGTAAAATATAGATATAGATGATATATGATTTTAGTAAGCCTATGACAAGGGTCATGTTACAGAGAATCTGCTCCTTTGCCCATTCAAGGCAAATGACAAGTTCCTATGTTCGCTCTCCACCCCATCCACCGATACCTTGACCATGCCACTTCATTCATCTATCGGAGCCCTTAGAAATACAGGATAGGTTGAGGTGGGGGGAGCAGGTGATCTTCACCCTTTGCTCCCCTTACTGATCAGATATGTGTGGCCGATTGCCAGGACTGAACACTGTGAGGTTGGAGAGAATTTAATGCAGAAGAATATCACAACTAATAATTGGCTTATTGATAAAAATAAGAGGTAACACTTTTACCATTGCTTCTTATTTAATCATTTAGCATGCAGATCTAACTCACAGCCTTGAATGTACTGACAGCCCAATATGTGAGGTCTGGAGTGTACATCTACAGTATATACCAGTCTATATGTGCTAGGACTATAAATGTGTTTTTAATGCCATTTATCTTACCTGAACATCCTGGGTCAGTGATTAGCGTGTAGATGCTGCATTTTAAAGAAAGGGCTCAGTGCCCAAATTAACCCCAGCTTTTCTCTTTGAATGTTGGGTACAAGTGTAGTGCTGGCACCGCACCTCCGTAAACTGAACTCAAGCCTTGCCTTTAGCCTTGCACAGTTGTACCGGCTCCTCTCCTGGACTGAAACTGCTTATTCTGATTTCACTGCATACGGTGAGCTTCTCACAATATGCATTAGTAGCTACAGCAAGTCAGATAGAGCCCGCCGTTTTTTTGTGGCTGGTGAAGGTCCAGCATTATCAAGCCCATTCATCCCCAGCCTGACTGTCCCTGGCCCGCCCCTTTCATTCATTGGATGATGTGTTGGTGTTACCAGCACATGTACAGCATCTTGCCAGCCCCTCCCACTAGCCATTGTAAAGAAAAGCCCAGAGACCCAATGAGGACATCAGTGGGTCTTACATTAGCATTGTACTGAAAACCAAAAGGTTTTATTTAATAATTTCATTAGTTGATAAGTGTGGAAGGATGAACTAAGGGAAGGCAAAAATAAAGGCAGATTAAACGACAGCTTTAAACGTTAACACCTTGGTATAGTATGTAAATTAATTTAATATTTGCTATTGAAAAAAGTGAGTTTGTTTATTAGTTTGCTCCGCTGTATGTCATTTAATATACTAGACAGCTAATGTCACTAAGTTACTTTAGTTTTCAATATAAACATGTTAAGGAAGTGTGAGATCAAAGACAAAAACAACATTATCCTGCATTGCTAGCCATTGTGTAGCCATTTTTAAAGTGTACCTGTACACACAATAAAGTGGCTCTACCATGCACAATGGGCACCTCTAAATGCCAGCATGCCCATTCTGCCTTCTTTGTAAAGCATCTCGGGAGCCACAAAACCCTTAACCTGCTGTTATGCAAAGAGATGATGGGCAGCTTCACTGTCAATCCATACTTTACTACAGGATATGCTGAGGTGCATAGGATGTAAGTATTTTTTTCCTCTGCTCCTCATGTCCCTCTGGTGGCCATAATGTCATAATACATTACATTCGACCTAAAAAGAAAACATACTAAGAACATTTGTTTTTGCCTTTATTTGCACAGAGCGAACTTTCACAGAAATTCGCCGGGCAAATGGCTCTGAGACGTGTTCATAAATGGACCCCTTAATGTAACTTCAGCTTTATTCTTATATTTAGGGCAGCACTTTGGATAGCTATGCAGGATCTGTGAATATATCAGTAGTTGTATCTTCCAGGTAGCTTGTAGCTGGTACATCTTAGTTAAAAGATGTTAAAAGATACCTGTAGTTTTATAGAAGTTTCTTAAAAAGAACATAAATACTAATCTGTCTAGCTGCCCACGCCATTGATTTTCACTGGCATGGGTGTGTCAGTTGATTGCTTCCACCACCTCCGTTCTATGGTTTCTTCTGATGGCCCTTTATTACTGTTGTATCCTATAGTAAAGTAGGGATTGGCAGGAGGAATCACAGAGTACAGACGCCTTTCTGTCAGTGATCTAGGTACCCGTTACCTATTTGTAATAAGGGATTCCCAGATACACCCACTTTGGGCTCCTTGCTGTCTCTCACATACAGTAAACTTGATGTATCAGAGTGTCAGCACTAGTGGGTTTCCTACAGCCACCAGAAAGTCTTTGTAGCTTTAAGTGTATTTCCACTTTGCAGTCAAAATCGAGAAAACCCCTCTATATGTTTGTTATGTGTTCCTATTCACACAGCATATCTAAATACATATATTTTACAAATATTTCTTACCTTTTAAATGTGTCGATGTAGTTGGCCTTTGCAAAATTCTCTCTTAGTTTCCAAGTGAGAGGAAAATCTGTCTGTCCCTATAGAAAGACATACAATACTTCTAGAATTGTAATCCTTTGTTAGGACAAACAGTGTTCACAACGTGTCCACAACTAATAATGAGATCTGTCATCACAGTGCAGACAGGGTTAGTTATGTAAACAATAACCTGCCCAGCCCCCCATGCACCCCAAAGCAAAACTCAGTACAGAGAACAACTTTCTTTTCAGAATTGAGCATGTTTTGTGCATGCAGGAATTTTTTGGGGAGAGTTATGCTCTGTTAATGAGAACACGTAATAAATATAAAATAGGTGTTATCCCAAAAGTGGAAATATACTTTAAAAGGGAACAATGCCCAAACCATTTTTGGCATAGTTCTCTTTTGGGTCACAGGAGTACATATAAAAAGGAACACCTGTGACCCAAAACTCAGCAGATAGTGGGCTATTGCCTGCTAAATGCTAACAGAGCAGAGCCGCACTGCGGCCAGGTACCGCTACCGAATTGACAGCTGGCTCTGCCTCTCTAGAACCAGAGCCAGCTGTGCCCACCCCTTCCCCTGCCTGTCCATCCAATGAGCACTGGAGGAACAGAGAAAGGAAACCACTGCGGGGATTGCTGGTTGACAGTCACCGCTCTCTGCAGGGCGAAGATTGTGAATTGAGCGATCAGAGGTTTGTGATTGCTGTAACTACAGGGTTGAGTGGATTTCACTCTCCCCTTTAAAGTCTATTTCCACTTTCACAGCCAAATTTTGATAACGCCTTTTTTATATTTGTTACATGTTCTCATTTACATAGCATAAACTAAAAATATATATATATATATATACTTTTGCAGGTGAAGTTTTTTTTACTTGGGTTAGGGTTTTAAGGGTTAAAATGTCTGTGTGATGGGTGAGGATTCCCGTCCATTCAGAAGTGGCTTGTCCATTGTATGTTAATGAAGCTTATTAGATAAACACAATCCTCAACTTTCAGTCTCAAGACTTTCCATTGGGACAAAACCACTGTGAAAGGGCTAAGAAAAAACTGGACTTAGCCATCTTGCCTGATTTAACAAAACATCTAAAAGGTAAATTTGACTGCAAAAGTGGAAATACACTTTAAATGTGATTGCTATACATCAAGCAGAAAAGAAAGACATCACACAGCTACCAAAGTCGGAAAGTAATCTATGAGCCATTTTGTGTATAAGCATCAATTTTGTTCAGTAGGCAGCGTAAGCCGTATTTAATAATGCTATTTGAGGTATCCCATTGACACATATCAGAAATCAGATTTTTTTTTGTGTTGTTTTGAATGACATAAGCCATTATCTGATTGGTTACTTAAAGTACTTTAAACATGCCAATAGGTCCTTGCACTGCCCTCTTAATAAACTCCCATTTTAATGTATGTTAATTAGAAAATTGGTGACCATGGACTACAGTAAATTATTATTCTATTTTTCATTCTAAAAGGGAACAATCAGAATACTATCATGCAGCTTTTCCAAGTTAAAAATAACAAGGCTTCTTAAGCATATAACACATGCCATGGAATGCTTACTTAGAGGAACTGAAATGATTGCTACCGTTGTACATTTAAAATCTAAAGTGGATTTCTAGTGACAGTTACTTGACATGTATATTGTGATGGGATGTATCAGTTCTGATTTATGTTGCTTTTATTCTACCTTAAGTGCTAAATTCATTTTCCTTTAAAAAAAAAATAAAAAAATTACAGTATTTATCTCACATTCCTGCAGCTCTGTTTAAGTAAGATGGCATCTTGCCGCATCACTATTGATCGATCTATGATATATTCCTCCAAAATGTATATCTCTCATTCGAAGGACAATTCCGTATTTGAAGACGTTATTGCAAACATGCCCCATCTCAGCTTTCTGTGGTTCTTAATGTGCTTTTCTATTTTTTTTTAAACGCCATTCAACGCTAAACAACAATACATTCAGTGATTGACGCAAAATCTGTGTTTGGACAATGCTGGTCAAACTCTGACATTTTAACAGGGTATTTTGCTAAATGTGAATGTGAAACAATGCACAGACTCTGTGCATAGACTATATCTTCACCCTCCGCCACCACTCTGGACTGCGAGGGAATGGGACATTCTGGTAAAAGCTTGCGGACATTGGATATGTACTGTATCCATGGCATCTTCAGACCAATAAAATGCTTTATATTTAAAAATTCCATTGTTAAAGGACTTGTTATAGAGCAAAGCCATTAGGTGACCATTGCTTTAATTCCCACGCAAATGGGGGATTTTTTATTATGATTATTTTATTTTTGCTGTATTGCTGCAACCCAGCACCCTGGCTTTAGAAGCGGTGTAGTCCT